GGCCGCGGGGCCCGTTTGCGGGGCCCGCCGAGGGGAGCGGCTTCCCGGCCCGGCCCGGCCCGGCCCGGCCCGGCCCTGCCCTGCCCTGCCCTTCCCGGCCCCGCTTGCCGGGCCCGGGCGTCGCGCGGGGGGCAGCCGGCGTCGTCCTCGGTCCCGGGCGTCGTCCTCGTCAGCTATAATTTCGCGCATGTTTGTTACCAAAGTAATTTATGTCCCCGCACGGCCGTTTTATTAACAGATAATTGGGCTAACAGAACAGAACTGAAAATATGGCAACTGCCCAGAAGCAAAAGAATTCTTTGGTATGCTTCCATTCATTTCATTTCATTTTATTTATTGTAATTGTTTACGGGAATCATTGATTCGATATGCTCAACAGAATGCACATGAGAGTTTAATGAATTTAGGCAAGAGTCATAGCAAAGGGCAGAAATGAGCGTGTAGCCAAAGTGGTACCTGGAATGAATTAAAAAGAGCAAGATGCTTTATAGATGCATTTATCCATCCAGCTGGAGTAGCATTTTTGCTAGGATTGCAATTTTATACACACTTACCTGGGAGTAAACTAAATTGAACTTAATGAGGCTTTCTTCTGAGGAGACAAGAATAGGATTGTGCTGTGAACGGTCTTGTAAATTCATTCTAAACAAATATGAAAGTCAATATATATCCATTTAGGCTGCTGTCTGACTCCCTACATTAGAAAAACTATATGGTATTGCGATGCTTAGGATGTAACTTCTCATTTATTTATTTGAAAGATTTAGGAAACAACCCTGCATGCTTATTGTACACAAGAAATGTCCTATGATTCCTGCTTTCCCTATTTGCCACTCCCAAATGGGACAAAATTTTGAATCAGGCATAGACATCTTTGCTACTTTTCTTCTTGAATCCTTTGACGCGTGTTTGTGCCAGTGTATCATTAGTGTAATAATTTGTAGAGTTAATGCAAACATTCCGGTTCACAGAAACCATGTGCTGGCCGGGGAGGCTAATTTTTGCTGCTTTATGTTACAGAGTGCAGCAATATTCTCCAACAAAATATCAACTGAGCAGCAATCACTGGTCCTAGTGAAGAGACTGCTGGCCATTGCGGTATCCTGCATTACTTACCTAAGAGGAATCTTTCCGGAATGTGCATATGGAACAAGATATTTAGATGGTAAAGCCTTCCAATGTAGAATAATTTTTCCTGCTGTATGGTTGCTAAGTATTATTGACTTAATTTCTATACTGCCCAACAGCTAAAGCATGTAGTATATCTTCAGAAGTTATAAGATGTTGATTTCTGAGCAACAGAAAGTTGATCTTTAGCTAGATTAAACCTTTTGCTGCAAACGACTGTCAATTGACAAATATATCTTGTGCATGTGCAAAGAACAGAAGTTGAACGAATAAAGGTTTGTGGTAAATAGTTTATCCCAGCTTTCCTCTAAACTCACCAAAAAACAGCAGTAAAAACATGCTCATATATTAAAAGCATCAAAGGCAATGGAAAAGGCCAAATGTTTATTTATGTATTCTGATCACAGACTGATTAAAGTTAATTCAACAAAAACAAAAGTTAATACAAAAATAGAAGAATACAAATAAAATCATGGAGGAGCCGAAAGGGAGTTCTTTCACATTTGTACTTGAAGGATTTAGGCTGCAGTCGTCTACGTGTAGAGACAGAAATAAATCCTTCAAGTCCTGGAGTCTGCTTGCCAGGAATGCTGGATGTTATTCTGTCTAAACATGTAAAGGACTGAATGCTTATTTACCTTTGCGGTGATATGGACAGAGTCATTGTTCACAACCAGCATTTTACTGGTCGTGGGTAATGGGAGAGGTTGCCCTACATCAAAAGCCTTCACTGTTTCCATAGGTCTTCCGGGTAGAATTCTTAATAAAGGGAGACTCAGTTGCTCTCAAGACTCTATTACAAATCATAGTATTTAAATAACATCCAGTTTTACTGATTCTTCAGGGAGAGAGTTGTTAATTGAGCAGAATCTTGTGAAAACAACCAATTAACAAAATAATTGATAGTGTTATCAATATTGTACCAACTAGTTCTTAAATGTAATTTCTTTTTATTGTGTCTTTTAAGACCTCTGTGTGAAAATATTGAAGGAAGATAAAAACTGCCCTAGCTCCAGTCAGCTGGTGAAATGGTACGTAATTTCCAGCAGCTACATGGAATCCTTGTAATGCAGATTGCATGCTGCTGTTTTTATTATTTATATTGCATCATCCATGCGCATGAGATTTTGCAAAGAATGAGATGACCGATCACTGCTCCAAGAAGCTTACAGTCTGAAGCTCAGCGTTGAAGAGAAGGAAAATTGAGATGGGCGATATAGAATGAGTATATAAATGCAGCTGCATGTACTTGGTTTTAGCTTAACAGGTGGGTTAGATGGAGAAGGTCATAGTTGAGGATGGAACTGAAAGAAGAGATTTGTCAGCAGGTGATGGCTAAGTGGCAGCAGAGGAGAAAGGGTGGTGTCCTCGGAGCGGGATAACTCCAGAAATTGGAAAGTGGGATGGTTGGAGAAGCAATGGTCCCTGGGTTGGGATGGACAATTGAGAAGCTTGTGCGAGATCGGAGCATGAACAGGAAGACGGTTTAGTGATTTCTGGCAGCGCAGTGCTGCTAAAGAGAAATGAAGCAATATAGAAACAGAGAGTCAGAAGGGGCCTCCTGGGCCATCTAGTCTGACCCCCGGCTCCAGCCGGCTCTGCTCACGACATGCCCACCATGTGCATGTCTAGCCTATCTTTGAACACCCAATATGTTTAACACTATAAGGTGTTTATTAAATTAAGGCTCTCACAGCATTCTTAATCCATAAAATAATGCTAAACAGTAAGGAATAATAAAGGATGGAAAAACCACAATAGATATTGCCGAATATTTATTTTTAATGCACAGAAATTGGTGTGAAACAACAGTGTTGTTTGATTTTTGCAGGATGTTAGGCTGCTATGATGCACTACAGAAAAAATACGTAAGTTACACATGGTTTTATCCTCTGCAAGCAACAGTACACTTAAAGATTCAGCGTGGCATTTTACTGATCACACACACTAAATGCTTCTAAGTTCAAATTAATTTTTCCCTTTTTATTGTATTTTAAATAGCTCAGATTGATCGTTTTAGCGGTAAGTTCTGCATACTGCTGACATTTCAAAATAAAGCAGTTATATGTGCTGTATTTTACTTTGTTTGTCCTGATAATGTTATTTATCTTTAAATACAGGTCTACACCAACCAGGAGGACCCTCAAGTACGTTTATGATGACATTGCATTAACAATTACAAGCCCGATCGTCAATGCCTGTTACTGAATCCAAGTAGTCATTTAAATTCTTGCATCCTAAAAGACAGACATGCTGATATAGTGGCACTGCATGTAACTTCCTTGGCTCAGATAGTATGAAAGTAATTGGCCACTAGGTGTCTCTCTGCCTCCATATAATGTAATAGTACTGTGAAAGAATAGGCATTCCTCCTCTTTATACTGGCAGCTGCAAAATGGGGAAGTTTTTTCTTGTAATCTAAATATGCCGAATCTCTTGATTCCAACCATGTGGGTTTTATTTAGAGAATTGTGCATTTTATTTAGAAATAGACTCTCCCAAACCGTCAAGGAATTAAAACGGGATTGCAACACTCAGGCTAGCATTGGATCAAAGACTGTACTGAAGCACATCCCAGGTTTTTGGACTGATGTTGTTCACCTTGTTTAAGCATGCCTTTTTCAAGTGCCTGGACAGAAAAGGAGCCCCGTTGAATGATGCCAAAGGACTATTAAAGGCCAGTGGCCGCCAGACGCCCCCAGAAAGTCCACAAGGAGGCCTTGAAGGCAGGAGCCAGCCCTTCCCTTTGCCCCCCCCCCCCCCCCCGGAAATAGCTTTGACATAATTAGCACCATCAATTCCCAACTACAGTAAAAATCAGCGGCCCCACGGAGGGTCCTTTGTGTTCTTCACTCGCACAAGTCCTGCAAGGGTGGGACACTCCCTTGCTTCAACAGTGCAGCTGTTGTTGAACAAAGGAACGCAAGTATGGATTTTCCTTTTATTGAACCAAATGGTGCCAGCAAACCATGAAGCAAACCGCTCTCTCGACTTGTGAGGCCACTCCTTGGGTGGACTAGACGCATCCAACTAGGATTTGCCGTGTGTGTTCGTTCGTTTTAAACATTTATCCCTGGCTTTCTGTCACAACAGAGTTGATTCCGTCCTCTCACTTTCAGTGTTGTAGTTAAGTAACACACCATGCTTGCCCGTTTTTAGGTACAAAGGGTTAAAAAGATTTCAGTATCAGTGCGTGCTAAAAGTTAGTGTGGGTTGAGTGTCGTGGTGAGATTGAAGAGAGCCAGATTCACATGCCCACTCAGCCAGAAAGCTCACCAGGTGACCTTGAGCCTGTCGCACATTTTTTTGTGCAAATAAAGCAGGCTTCTCACTGAGATAAAAAATAATTCCCTTACTTGGCAAGGCAAAGTGTCTCTGGAGTAGTTTTACCTACTACTCCCTGTCTTCCGTGCTAGATATATAATCGCTGTGTTTTGTGTTTAGACTGTTACAGAGTGCTACCAGTTCAAGTTCAAATACACTGGCAATGGACCATTGATGGATTTCACAAGGTATTATCTCTTTTCCCACTACTAAGCATCATTTCATAACACATTTCTCCAGCAGTCTGTTAAGCTGAAGTGGGGAAAACCAGTGTGTGCTCCTTTATTCTAGGAACTGATTGCTTGTTGTTGAAGAGAAAATGCTCGATAACACTTGGCTCTCAATGGGTCTGCAGTCACATTTGTTAGGAACATAATGCTTTTAGGAAAATACTATCAAATAGCAAACATGAAATTTTATTAGTATTGGTTCTCTGCTTCTCCTGAAGAAACAGCTACGTTTCGATTTGCTTTTCAAAGCACAGAGCCTTTAAAGTTAGCATTTTTGTTACTGGAACGTGTATCTGTTAAACAGTGACGGAAGCGCTATTTTAGTACTAAACATCATTTCTTGGGATATCTCCCAGAACAGACCAGGAACAGCTAGTGCTGTCTGCCCTTAGTGCCAGCTGGCATCCATCATGAGAAGAACTACCCTTCTGGGTTTTGTACCAGGAAAGTATCTCATTGAAGTGGTACTAAACGTATTATTGACGATATGGGAGCTTTTCTGCAGTTCTCCAGTTGGTTTGGAAGGACTTGATTTCTGTCAGTTCAAGTGTTATCTGAAGCTTTGCAAACAATGTCGGGCTAGCCTTTTAGCATATAAGCCAACTTTATATGCAGGTATATATAAGGTGGGAATATAGATCAGGTAAAGGTGGAAACAGTCCAGCATGCTCTTTCCCACATTGGCCAGCCAGATGCCCCCAAGACGTGCAGCATGAATGCAGCAAGCAGCTGCTGCTGCGATTCTTCAGCAGTTGGTATTTTGTGGCACACCTACAATCTCTGGACCTCTGGGAGGTCATATAGTCATCAGGCTTGATATGTAGCCATTTAGAGACTTCTTGTTTGAGCATTTGTTTAGTTCCCTTTTAAAACTATCTGAGTTGGTGGCTAGGCAACACATTTTATGGTAGCAAATTCCAAACATTCCATAAGTTGACATCCAAACTCAAGAGGGAGAAAAATGTCTCCCGATAATTTCTCTATGCTGTGCATACTTTTATAGTCTGCTCTCATCTCTGGTCTTAGTTATCCTTTTCCTAAACTCTCAGTATTCTGCAGTTCCTTGTAGGGAAGGAGCTTTAACCTCCTGATCATTTTGGTAGCTCTCTTTTGCTCGTGTTCATGTGCTGCAGTGGGAAAACATAACAAGAAAAAAAAGGAGTAGTAGATGAGCCACAGGGGCATTTGGGAGAGACTTGAGTAGAGATGGGACAGGATGGGTGGGATGACAGACAGTAGGACAAAAGGTTTGGCTATATCACCCATACAGCCTATGACTGTTTTGTGCTTCTCCAGTAAAAACCAGGGGAGTAATTCCAACATCACCTGCGCAGATACTAAGAAAGCAAGTATCCTGCTGATACGGAAGATTTATGTCTTGATGCAGAATCTGGGCCCTCTGCCCGATGATGTCTGTCTAACTATGAAACTCTTCTATTACGATGAAGGTACCATTTTTGGTCTTAATTCTTTGTGACAGATATGCTCAGATCATAATGAAATAAATGGTTCCTGCTACACTAGAACTTTGCTAATTTTTTGTTTTAGTTACACCCCCTGACTACCAGCCACCAGGATTCAAAGAGGGTGACTGTGACGGGATAGCATTTGAGGGGGAACCTATGTACCTCAGTGTTGGTGAAGTTCCCACCCCTTTTCATCTGTTGAAAGTTAAAGTGACCACAGAGAAGGAACGGATGGAGAACGTTGACAAAGCCATTCTAAAGCAAAGCATCTCCAAGAATACTTCAAAGGCACAGAATCCTGAGGAAAGGCAGGACCAGAAAATGGATGTAAGGATTGAAAAATATTATCATTGTGACCTATGGAATTATGATTATATTATTAGGGGCAGCATTTGTCTGCATTGTCCATCTTTTATGATGTCTTAAGATACATTCAGCCTTTTTAAAGATCTTCTTGTATGTGTACTTCATGCAGGAAGATTTTACTGCAGAAAATAAAACAAGAGAAAAGAAAAACACAGACAGGATTCTGCATGATGGAGGTACTAAGTGTATATAATTTGTGTAGCTGTGGGACATATATTGCACTTGTATTCTTTATGCTAGTGTTAAACATCTGGTATTTTTAAAGAAATCACCACAATACCTTGGAAAAAAATAGAAAATGAGTACTGCTTTCTTTCTTGTGCTCCAGAACTTTGATTTTAAAAAAGCAAAGGATGATAGTACAGGCCAGTGCACGAAGTACAGACAGGGTAAATTCTGATCCCATTTAAAAAAAAACGTATGAGCAGATGACATGTTGCTTGCATTTAATCATGATAAAATTAATTCAAATCAGACCATTCTGGGTTTCACAGACCCATTTGTAGAATGCACAGAAATAAAAACAATTTCCAATGCTATTCACAGAATTAAATTTAGTATGCAAAGAAGATGAAAGCATACGAGCAGAAGACAGCCAAACTCTCTCCATCTGTAGTTCTCAGGTACAGCAGTACATTTTCATTTCTTGGCTTGTTTCTCTTATAATTCCAATGGCACCTACAGACCAAACTTTATATGTGCTGCAGGGCCAGTCTGAAAATTCATTCACTGTGGGCTGTTTTGCAAACAAAATGCCTTCTTCCTGGGTCAAGCTCGATGAAAACTGGTTCTGCAGGTATGCTGCAGAAGCTTGCAGTATGCAGTGCTGATTGGCACTCCGTGACATCCTGAGACAACCTCTCTCTGCTGGGGCAGCTTTTCAACTTTTAAGCAATAAGTTAAAGAAAAACCTCTTAAGGTGGTGAATGGGAGTTCTTTAGTTTGTGTGCATGTATGTTTGCGTTGCTTTAAAGAACAAACAGGAAGCCCACCTAAAGCTTGCATCAAAAATAATGTTAAGTCAGGGTTCAAATCCCTGGTCAAATGCAATCTCAAAAGCATGGGGTGGCAGGGACAGACTCATCTTTTATTTTGGAGAAAAAACCTGTAATTCCTTTAAGTATGGTATGTCTGCCCATAGCCCAACCCCAAAACAAAGCTGAAACAATGCATAAAAACCATTTCTACTTGTTTCATTGTTTTTAGGTGGAGCAGCTAGTAAATAAGACTAAAGAACTTGAAGTAGCAGAGAGCAAGACCCGAAGTGGAAAGAGATTTCAGTGCAACACAGTCAGTGTCATTTTAGAAAGAATGAACAAAACAGTCTGTTGAAAGATCAGAGTGAGATAAATGGAGTTTTATATAAAGAAACCGTACATAATGCATGAACCTAAAAGGCCTCTACTTTCTGATCACATCAGTTTCTCTACTATTACAAGAGAAGGAGTTTATGATTATTAATGCAATACAAATTCATTTCTATAATATATTTTTAAAAAGTATTCTAAGGGTATTACAATTTTGGTTTAATTCTCTTCACAGCCTTCTAAGCAATGTACTGGGCTGCACAACTAAATGGGAATCTTGTAGCCTTCTTCCTGATTTTCAAGATTACAATATGGACTCATAGGTTTTCTGAATAGGGAAGACTATAATTACCCAAACTGAGTTTCTGAGATAGGTGAAAATAGTAGAATTATGGGGAAAGTTGTGGATGAGATGCCTTCTTTTGTGTCATTCGCTCAGTGGTAGAGCCTCTGCTTTGCATGGAGAAGGTCTCAGGTTGGATTCCCAGGGAAAGCAATCTGCCTGAAACCCTGGTGGACCGTTGCTGCATCAGTGCTGAGAGTAATTGGCTAGACGAATCTTGTGTAAGGTGGCAGAGTGCAGTTCTCCGCACTTGCTCTTTTACAAATTTTTGATAATTCGTGTTTGAGAGCTCAGATTCTGAGTAAATTCCATTGCGGGAGGCAAACTTAACCAGATGTGTGTACCTCACAGCACAGAATCTCAGTGTTTACATTAATGCTGAATTGATTTTCCGGGTGCAAACATGGGGGTGGGAAGTGAGGGACGCTGGGCGTGAGTTGCAAGCAGAAACATAGAGTCAGTGAACTTGTTAGGCTTCATGCTTCTGGCTGCCGGTGAGTGCCATTTTTTTATTTAATCCACAACACTTCAGAGCGAGGTCAGGGAGAATCTGTTCTGATTGTTTCACGGTGAAGCCAGGTGATGGCAGGTCATGGCTATGAGGTCAGATCTGACAAATGCTTCCTGCTCTTGCTCTGAAGCTTTGGTGGGTTAGAAAAAAATTGCCCCTGCCAGTAACTGTGCCTGTCGGGAGTGTAATTTGTGCTGCCAATAAGATTACAAAACTGATGGCGATAGCAAGAGAAGATGTGAATGGAGCCAGATATAATACCTTTACCAGCTCAGAATCCCCACTTTCAAGCTGGAAAAGATCTGAACCGTTATCTGTCATCATACAAATTTGTACCTGACCTTTGTCCTAGCTTGGCCTGGTTTTGTGCCCTACTGGATCTGTACAGAAACATACCTTTGAATGTACCCTTGCATGTTTGCAAGTTGCTTTACTGACATAACATTTTTCACCTATAAGCATTGTGGGGAAGATTTTGCCGGAATCAGCAACTCAGGAAATGCCCTTCAGAATGTACAGCGGTGAAAGTAAATCATATGTTGTCATGACCAAGCCAAAGCTTGCCCTTACTGTCGCCACTCTTAAAGAGTCCTTCATTAATTTTTTAGCACAAGTTGAGGAAGAGGAACAGCCGACTGATGCACAGTGAGCTGCTTAATAGCTGTCTACTAACAGTTCTTCTTTCTCTGTCAAGGGTGGTATAGAAAGCACCAAAAAGCCGTTAGCAGCAAAGCGTCCTATAGAAGCCCCAAAGAAAAGTGGCTCACAACCAGGCAAACCTGTAAGTGCTTACAGTAAATGATGTAGAAAGTAACCAGAGTTCTTACTAGGATCGTTCTCCCCTTCAGCTGTGCTTTATTAAACCAGTACGTTTGTGCAAAATGGCTAGAGGTTTTTAAGTGGCATCTACATTCTTGAAAAATTAGGTAACTTACAGGGATAGGAGCTGTGAGTCAATTCCTGTTCATTCATGACGGTCCTAGTGCTACAGTGCAATCCTGTGCGTGCTTATTCTATAAGATCAATCAGTCAGTAGTAAGTTCTACTAATGTTGCAATGGAGCTTGCTTTCAGGTAAGTGTGTATACAACTATAGCATTAAATAGATGTGGCTATTATGGGAAACAAGTGAGGTCTCACAGCAAAATACTGTGCGATACTTCTGCCCCCAGGATTCTCCTTGGAGGGCTTCCGCTCCAGCCCCCCCAGAAGGACTTGTGTTGAAGCTGATGGTGTTGAAGCTGATGGTGTGACTCAGCTGGCTGCCAGTTGTGTCAAGTGGAGCTCTAGGCCTGCGTTTACTGGATGCCATTTGTCAACAACATCTTGGCATGTCAGAGGGGTGCCAGCAAGGAAATGCATCCTAAGCAGGTCTGGAGCGCCATTCATCATGGTTGAGATACTCCAAGTGGCCCTCCTGCCCCTTCTCTATGTATGGATTGGTGCCACGAGTGGAGGCAAGCGACTTGTCACCTGAGAAGGGACCAGTAAGTTGTGGCTCGTGCAGTTTGTCTAACGGGCCTCTTGCTCTCTCCCTCCTTCCATCTCTCCCACTCCTCCTCTCCAAACAATGTACAATGTTATTTCATTTTGACAGGACTTTGTGCTTTTCAAAATAGTTTTGCGCTTCTGCAAATCTCAGCATTTCCCCAGCCATAAAAAAATCCCTTTTCTTGGCAGCTGATGCTGTTTTCTCTTCATAGCAATTTACATGCACCCCATAACTTGGCTTTTATATATAGTTACAACTTTTCTAACTTCTTATATGCAGTTATAACTTAAAACAGTTGTAAAAGTTCACAATAAAATTATTTAGAAAAAAACAAAAACCTTTGCTATTTACATGTAACATGTGGGACCTATTCCTGGTCAGAGTTCCAGCCAGCCAGAATATTTTCCAGGATAGCCCACCTGCAACAACACTCAAAATAACATTCAATTATTTATCTGCAGTTTTACGTTCTAAAACATACTGAATTGTTGCGTTTATCTTTTTCAGGTATATGATTTTGAATTCTCTTCTAGTCAAGATTCAAGTCCCAAACGGAGAAAGTTTAGCGAACCGAAAGAGCAGTTTAAATACTAGCTTCCGGATGTTTTCATTTGCTTTTTTTCCTAGAATGTTTTTCTTATTGTAACTACTATCTTGTTATATTTAGAAGGAGTTTATTTTAAGTTGTTAAGGCCATCAAACAAATGTATATGCTGTAGTTCCAGTCAGGGGTATAGGCTTTTAATTCAACTACATATAAAACTCGAATCTCATAAACCTCATGTTTCATCCATCAGCCGTGTGTGTGAGAGATGGCAGTTCTCTGGAGCATTAAATGCTACTCTGGGCATACAAGAAAAAATTACTCATGTGGAGATTCATGTCCCTTGGGCTTTCAGGCACTGGACACACAGTGTGCCTGGGCTATGGATCTCTGGATTACTAAATACAGTGTGTGCAAATGAAATGGGACACCAACAGTCATTTAAAGTAGGCCTGATGAAAACGGCCTTAAGGACCAACTCGGAAAAAATTGTTTCACTTTCGTAGGGCTTAATCCAGGATAGTTTTCTGGCAAAATCCAATACATTATACCACCATGTTTTACATGGATAGGCTCTCCCAGGCTGAAGATTAAAAACTGAGTTTTTGTAGAATAGCATGTCCGGAAAAAGGCATCTCCTTATAGGAAGAAGGAACTTGGCACAATTTGTTTAGTCTGTTGATTTTCATAACTGCACATTTAGATTTTTTAAAAGAGCAGCTATTCTGTTCTAGTTTTGTTCCTTACATGAAACTGAACTATCAGAATCCTCTAATATTGTTACTGGTAACGAATATATAAAAATAATAGAGGTGTGTGTCCATGACAGCAGTAATAAAGTGGTTAACCATTTTAAAAATATAACTACATCTTATTCTTAATTTTGCAAAACAAGTGCCCATGATGAGGTTTCTGTTAAGCAGAATAATCTCAGGCAGCTCTTTTTATACCATGCAAATAAAAGGAAAAAAGCTTTGAACTAATGGTCTGATCCTGAAAAAGTTAACCACACCTAAGTCATATGGAAAGAGACCTCACAATTGAGATACATCCCATGAATTTCAACAATTCTCAGGCACATCTGACTTTTTCTGGATTGTTAGTTGTCCCTAACTTGTTTTCTGTTACAGACGGTATTGCCAAAAATTTAGAAAAATGTTAATTTGTGCTGTATAATTTTTGAAACAGTGGAAGTGTTCAGGCTAAAAAATGTTGATTTCTAATGGAACATTTACAGAGGTTTGCACCACATTCTGTGCTTTCCATTTCAGACCTTCCCATTTTATAGCCACAATAAACTTCAGCTTGAACAAGCCACCTCTGCTCAGAAGTTTTATTTTAAAGGTTGATTCCTGCCTCATCACTGGCTGCGTCCTCTCTCTGGAACTGCTGTATACATTTTCAGAATATGTTTATGTTACTTCCCAGCTCTGGAACCTTAAGCCAAAGTAAATAGGTATAAATTCCATGCAAAATCCCCCTAGGGAATGGCAGCAGAGGCAGCAGGTGGTGGTAAGGTGGTGAGAAACAGTGATACATAAACCTAGGAATTTAGTCCCTAGGCAAATGGAAACTTTCAGACTTTTCGAAAGTGGGCCTTTGGCATTTCTGGGAGACGCCATGGTAGGAAGGCTGGAAGAATGGGGAACTTGTGTCCCGGGTTGTGGGTGCTTTGCTTTTTGCTACTGGGGATTCCAGGTGAAGGCCCCTGGTGCTACAAATCCAGGCATTGACCACCTGCTCTACCTTTTGCTTGTCGCCACATTTTTCCCCCCGGTGAGAAACGGCATGGAAGAAATGGTGGGGGAACCATGTGGGCTCAAACTGAAGCCCATCTGAGACCTACGGTGTCTCTGCCCCGGCTCCCCCTTCCATCTCGCCTGCCCAATTCCCCCTGTAGGACTTCCCATGCCCCAGGGCGCCATTTTGTTGCCCTTCTCTGGACATGTGCCTGTTTGTCTTCCTCCTCCCAAAAGTGTGGGATACAATACCCCAGATGGGGTCTGACTGGGAGCTGAACTGCAGGCTCCCTTTTTTTCACCTTCAAGAAATTGACCTACTCGCTGTCTGTTTTCCTCACTAAATTTGTCCCTCACTCCATGCAGGAGCTATGCAGAGGGGGAAATGGTAGCAGCAGTGGAGGCTTTTCCCCCCTTTTAGCCCTCACATGGAGGGTGGAGATGGCAGGAGCAGAAAGTAGGTGCTAGGAAGCTTTAAACTTCTCCAGCCCACTTGTGGTGGTCTAAATTGCTTCAAGGCTGTTTTTTTATTTTATTTTTTAAGATGCATGTATTGAAAGTAGCCTGTCGTCGAGTCCTAATGCAACTACCATTTGAGGGCATCGCTGTCAACTTGTCCCTTCAGGAGCCACAAAATGGCGCCCCACTCTGACTAAACTGGGGTGCTCAAAGGGCAGCAATGGGGCTGTCAGTGATACTCAAATTGGGGGCCTTTCCACTTTCCCCACCTTTTTAAAAATGTGGCCCAGTGGCGTGGCCGCCCCCTCTTCTAGCTGCCCCACTTCTCCCTGTGGGGCACCGCATGGCACGAGCCAACGGTGTCATGCCTGAGGTAAAAACAAAATGGCGACCGGCAGCCTCCCTGCTCCTGGAATAGCTGAGGGAGATCTGCGAAGAGCATCAACCGCTTTTATTTAGGATCACACCTTAGGGAATTTTTACAGCCGTTTTGCCCACCAGAGTTAGGGATTCTCCTTCCTTTTGTCTGGCTTTTTGTGGAGACTCTTCCCAAGGGGTTCTCGTGGTCAAACAATGGCCCACCAAACTCTCCCTTCCTGAGGTTTGGCCCCTTCTATTCATTAAACTTTTGACGAACAGACGACAAATCCACAATATTAGCCTCCGCAGCGCTTGGGCAAAAGAGGAAAATTGCCTTGCAACATTTCCAAAGCAAAAGCAAATTCCAGAAGTCTTGCCCACTTCTCCGATACGGCACAGGAGATCGTGTGCTTTACGTCCAGGAGAAATTTCTGAGGAGAAACGTTTGACAGAAGTTGGGCCAAATGAGGAAGGCCCGGTTGGGAACCAGCAAATTCCCAGACTTTTTAATGATCCTTTAAAAAAAGAACGGGAACCTTTTGACAGAAAATGTAAATTTAAGAATGGCAAATTAGAATTCCCAAAGGCTTGAAAGACCTAGTGGCTCCCCCAAATGGAAGAGTGGGTAACAAAATGTCAAAAATGGGCCCAAAATTTCCAATTGAACATGTACTGAATGGTCTGAATTGGCTACTGGGGAAAGAGATCTTGCAGTTATGTTGGAGAATATCATAAAGAGCCGGGTAAATGGCAGTGGCAATGGTTAAAAAAGGCATATTCCACCCATGCTAAGGATCAAACACCTAACTGCAAGCACCATAATGCTATTAAACAAACCTATTTTGTTTATTTCTTAGGAACGTTGTATCCTAATATCTGAGGATGTTTCCCAGAGAAAACATGGAGTCAGCAATCAGTAAGACAATTCAACTCATGTTTTGGAAAACAAGGACTACAGTAAAGACACACTCAGAATAAAACCCATGGTTTTGATTGCATCATTTAAAAAGAAAAGGGAAGTTTCTGAGTCAGGAAAGATGTGGTAAAGGCAATTAAAAAGATGTGTGTGTGTGGGGGGGGGGGGGTCAAAACATTTCCCAACAAGGAAAAGTTTTAAAAAATGAAGCTTATAGTTCAGGGAAAGCGTGACAATAAAAGGCTCAGCGGGACAAAACCCAAAGCTTATGCAATTACAGCACAGGGCAAGAAAGGTGTCCTTCTTTTTACATAATCCCAAAAATGGGATCAAGGAATGAAAATGGGAGTCAGGAGTAGCAAAAGGAAGGACTTCATGTGGATCAGAATTAAGTGTACAGCATTTGATGGTTTCTCACTGAGGACCAGAAACTTGAAAGAGGGATTTAGATGTACAGACTTGTCTGGCAACAGCTACTAGTCCTAATAGCTATAAAGAAGCAGTGTATGGGCTGCGGTTTGGGCTGTGGTTAACCAACCATGGTTTGCTGTCATGGCTGGGTTCAGGCAGCACAGTAGTCCAGACTCAGAGGCTGGGCACGGGTTGTGCACTCAACCCATGCCCAACCCTTGCGCACGGGTTATCTTGTTGTCTGAACCCAGCCACTCGCTTCTGAGCATTGCATTCTCGAGGATAACCTAGGCTTCGCCCTAATTCCTACAAGAATAAGCCTCATCCTGCAGCCATGTGGGGAAGGGCACGATGCCACGTGCGCCTTCCCGCCAGGAAGTCCCCCTGGCACGTCCCGGGGAGCGGCGCTTCCTTTTCCCTTGGAAGTTTGCAAAGAGCCCGCCTGCAAGCGCCCTGCCAGCCCATGCAAACTTGCTGGGGGCAGAAGGGGAGCGAGGGGCGGGCGAGATCTGCCTCCGGCCGCCACGGCCAGAGCAGCCGTCCTTGCAGCCCCAAGCCTGCGCCGCGGTGCACCGGTCACTGGCAGCATCCTCGGCCCGGCCGCCCTCCGCCTCTGCCCTGTTTCCCCCTTTCTTGCAGACGCCCATTTCCCCCTTGGGTTAGCAGCAGAAGCCACTCGCTGCCTTCCCATTGGTCCGCCCGGCTGTCAAACGGGCCAGCTCGCCCCGCCCACTCAAATTAACACACGCCGCCCCTTGGCAAAGTTTGTCTGCTGCAACAGGGGCAAGGACCCGCCTTCCCCTGGAGCTCATTGGCGCGCTCCCTCGCAGCGGCTCTTCCCATTTGTTCCTGGCGTGCACGCCAGGGTAGGCTTCCCGGAGGCACCAGGAAGCTGATGCGACGGGGGTGTGGTTTTTTTGTTGCTTCCTCCTCCTCCTCCTCCTCCTACTCTTTCTCCTCTTTCCTTTTTGTAGATGAACCAGGAAGTAAAGTTTGAGCTGCTTGTGGCTGTCGGGTTTCCTATTAGCAGAAGAGCAAAGAAGGAACTTGAGCAGGATAGGGGAGAAATAGGGAATTGCAGGTGAGTCTGGGAAAGAAATGGATAACACAGCCTTAACATGCCAAGGTGCGTAGAGGAATGTCAACCCTCCCCTCAGATTTGATGTTTAAATTTTATGAAGGTGGGATGAATTGCTTTAGCCTTTTCTCCATGATCTAGAAACTTGTAACATTTCAGATTGTAATAGCGAGCCGTTAAAGGGTAAAGAATTTATAAGATCAGATGCGATGGATGGTATTGCTGTGCTTGCTTCTTTATCGAATCTGGTCTGTAAGCTGCTTTGAGTTTATTTGATAAAATAAAACACAGCATTTTGAAGAGGGCGGAATGCCTAGAAAAACTTAAGTGCATGTTTTCCTCAGTCAGTTTATCTGTCTTCTCTATGGGATAGCTATGTTTGCAATCCGGTTTTCTTTCTTGCACCTGTTCTTTTTTAACTGCTGCTTAAAATGCAGATATGCAAGCTATGAAGCTTTCCCTCCTCAATTTAATTTCCATGCAGATTTCAACTGCTACACTTCTGTGTGGCGGAACTGCTGTGAAAGACCCTGGAGAAAATTCATTTCTTAAGAGGGAGGCTAATAAATTTAACTGAAGGGGAAGGAGGGTTCTGTTAAACTTGTGTTACAGGATGTGGCTTTCTATTACACCTGGCCAAGCAGAAGTTGTGCATTACCTTCCCTTTTTTATAGGCTGGTTGGTAATGAAAACTAGAGGAATACTATTCATGTTTTCTCAGGATTAGCCCCATGGATATAAGTTAATCTCTTGCCAAATAAGTGTGCCTAGGACCACAGCTTTATATGATTCCTTCCACGGTTTATGGTATGCACTAATAAAAGCCCATTCCTTATGTTAACTTTGCAGTGGCCCCAAGTGAGAATTCTTTCACAAGGATATTCTGCAACATGGTGGATCCATAGGGTCTAGAAACTTAGACTGCCCATCATTCCAACGTCTGTTTACTGCTTTTAAAGCCTTTGGCAACCTGATGCTGACCAGTTGTTCTGGCCTTTACCAACTTGCCCAGTAGTTATCATGGATAAAGGAGATTGCAATCCAGAACATCTGTAGAGCACTAGGTTGGGGAAGTGTTCTGACTGGAAAGAGAAGCTTTGTAAGGAATAAGCTATCAAGATTGCAAATAATTGTGCCATTTATCTCTTTTTAAGACTTACTAGCCCGCCTGCTAACACAGACGCTTTTAGTCACAGTTAGGTACATCAGAAACCTGAAAGAGAGAGTGGGCCACAGGCATCCCTGCTTTTGTGACTTGACCGAATTGCTGTACAAGGTGCTTGGCTGGCCTTGACATTTCAGTTGTACTGCTGCTCAGCTACAGATGGAAGCACAGCAGCCTGATCACATTACACTGACCTTTGAAAAGCCTGTGACATTTACCTATTTATTTCCAAGTTGAATCCAAGGTGCTGGTTTTTGCAGGAGGAAATTCCAGGATTCCACTTATTTCTGGGAGTGTTGTCTTTGTGGGTTCCCTCTTGAGCACTGAGCCCTTCTGATAGAGCTTTAGGTCTCTGGACGGTTTCTTTTCTGGGCAGCTGGTTCTTTCGTATTGGAATCAGGGCTTTTTCAGGAACCACTCCAGAACTCTGGAATTCCTTTCCTCCAAGAACTTGGCTGAGCCTTGCGACTAGTGGAGAGGGGCTTTTTTGCTTTGTTTTATTAGGGCTCAGTCTGGGCCTGTCATTCCAGACCTTTAGAACAGCTTTCAGTCCTATGCATCTTTGGACAGAAAGTAGTTCTGTAACTCCCAGCATGGCTGGTAAGGGAGTGCTGGGAAGTGCAGGATTTTTTTCCTCTAAGGATGCGTAGGATTATACCCTTTCTTTTCTCTGGCTTTTTCATCAGTTAGGTTCACTGAGATGGCTAAATTGAGATGGATTTCTCTGCTCTTGCCTAAATATTTATTGGAGCCTTGTAGTTTGTATGTTTCAGTTCTTAGCTGTTTTTCTTTTTAAAAGATCAGTGGTTGATTTTGTGTGTAGTTTTATTTTATTATTGTGGCTTATGAGTATATTAAGATTTGGAAGCCAAGGGAACACCTGTACCTTCTACTGACTAAAGACCCTTTCCTTGAAAGTCAAGATTGTAGTCCTCATGGGTCTGAATGAAAGGATGATTTCTAAATAGGAACATCAGAAGCTGCCCTGATTGTTGGTCCATCTGGCGCAGTGTTGTCAGCACTGACTGGCGCTGCTGGCTCTACAGGGTTCCAGCCAGATTTCAAGCTGTATATGGAGAAGCCAAGAGGGAACCTGAGATATTCTGCATGTGTGGCATGTGCCCCAACATGGAGTTAAAAGCCCTTTCTTCCCAAGCTAGCGGTTTTTCCCCTTAAAAATATAAATATAGCTTAGAGCTAAAATATAAATATATATAAATAAATGTAGCTTAGAGTAGTTTTTGTTGTGGGTTTAATTGTTTGTGTTTGTTACGAGTGTAGCCTGTGCTGCTGATTTGCAGTGCTGTGTCTAAAGGCTGCAAGAGGTGAGGGAAACAAGTCCTTTCAGATGTGACACAAGAAGCTTCTCTACCCTTCTACTTGGAATCTGCTCTAGCTTGCCAAAGGAGCCAGCCAGAAGCCCCACAGAGAACGTGCGAGTGATGCCCAGCAAGGGGGCAACTGCAGTGTAGTCCTGGAGTCTAGTTTCTAATGCTCAGCATGAACAAATGTATTGATCTCACTCATTGACAAGGTGACGTACATGATCCACCTCCTCTCCATTGTATCCTCACAACTGCAACCCTGTGAGGTAGGTTAGATTAGAATAACTTACCCAATTCATCCAATGAGAGCCAGTGTGGTGTAGTGGTTAAGAGCACAGGACTGGGACTCAGACGATCCGGGTTCGAGTACCCGCTCAGCCATGGAGCCCACTGGGTGACTTCGGGCCAGTCACAGGCTCTCAGCCCAGCCTACCTCACAGGGTTGTTGTTGTGGGGAGAAGATGGAGGAGGAGAATGATGTCAGCTGCCTTGAGCCCTTTGTAGGAAAAAGGCAGGATAAAAATCGGAAAATAAAATAAATAAATAAAAAATGAGTTCTGTAGGTAAGGGAGGACTCATTTCCAGCTTCCCCAGTTCTGGTCCTCATTCTCTAACCATTACGCTACAGTGACCCTGCACCAGGTCAAGTAATCATGGCAAAGAGCGGCACTGAGCATCAGTACAGAACATTTCCCTCTCTGGTGGCCAACCGCTGACACTTCCAGTTCATCCGGGAGCAGAAGAGAAGCCCCTGCAGGTCAAAGGGAGCTGGCCGGGGGCAGTGACCAAGGCTGTCATGCTGGAAATGAGCCGGTGTTGGTTTGAATTCAGTGTCTCTGCCTGTGTTGCCCCAAGAGGAAGAAAGGCTGTGGGAGGAAACGGCACCATAAGCAGCTACATGTGGAATGTGTGTTTGTCTGCAGGTGCAGCGGGGTGACCATGACGACGTTAATTCACCGGGGCCGGCGCGCAGACGTTGGCCGGAATGCTGACAAGCGGGCAGACAGTGAGGAGGACCCGGTGCTAGACAAGACTCTGGGGGAGGAAGACCCCGGAGACTCCAAAGACATCCGACTCACCCTCATGGAGGAAGTCCTGCTCCTGGGGCTGAAGGATAAAGAGGTATGAGAGTGTTCGGGAGCGGCCTGTCCGTGGTCCTTTGCGCAGTGGCCTCTGTGCAGAAAAGGGCACCTGAAATGATGAAGGGGCATGATCAGGAGGAAGGAATTGTCCAGGCGCAGGTGGGTGGGAAAGGGTACAGAATTATGCTCAGTGAGGAGAAAGTGGCATCTCACGTCAGCTTGAGAATTAATACCTTTGGAGTAAGCCACACAGATGTGACCTTTGGTACCTTGGGCCCTGAACAACACGTGACCTCTGGAGAGGTCCTCCTCCAGTTGCTGCAGCCGCACTTCTAACGGCTTTACCAAATTTTTTTGCATGGCTTTCCGAAGCACGGTGGCAGTTCTGCCACAACGGAGAGCCTGGGGCTGTCGCCGTGTCTCGGCCTGAGTCCAGGAGTGGCGGATAACGGGGGGAATGATTGAGACACTCAGAATTATGCCTGGTGGGGAGCATGCAGACAGGGAGGCAAACAATCAGCAGTATAACAATATGAATAATGATGATAAGTGGCTAAATGAATAAGGAAGGACAGGGAACAGAGTCATTCTGGTGTCTTGCAGTACTTTTGAAGACTGGCAGATGTATTTTAGCGAAAGGTTTTTGTCGGCTGGAATCCACTTCCTTGGATGATTGCCGTGTTGTGCACATGACCTGCATTGCTGGTAGGTACAGAGCAATGACTAGAGCCCAAGGCTGTGAAAGCGAGAAATCCAGGCTGTTGCACTTCCATATGCAGCTTAACTGCACGAAAGAGAAACAGCGAGGACCCATGAGATTAGTTGTAACGCAGGCTTCCCTTTATGAATTTGTGTTTACAAAAACTGCAGCCCAAGGCAGTTAATCAGCATCTACAGTATTACGAAACAGCCAAACAGCAAATCAGAACCAAAGGATGCATTCGAAAAACAAAAACTGCAAGAGCAGTAAAACTCAGCCGGAATTCAAAACGACTAAGACCATGCAGGCACCATGCCAAAATGGCCAAAATGTCGTTTTGTTACATTAAGTTGACATTTGTTGCGGGAGAAGGAACTTTGGTTTTGGCAGAATCTTAAATAGAATGAAAATTACTGACAAGTTCTAGTCCCGACGCTGCTGTCTTCCACAGTGACGATCGCTGATTCATCTCAGGGTTACAGAAAGGGTAACGAATGAATGCTAGTGCTAGCTTAGGTATGTTCAGTTTCAAGCCATTTCAAAACCAATCCAACCTTTTTTTTACTACTTAGAAATCTGTTTTTACTTATCCTCCTCTCTTTGCAAGGCATTTCCTATCTAAACCTATGTCGGAAATGAATCTGAGCAATGCCCTGTCAGTCATTTGGAGTTAGTCACTCCAAGCCAGTAGCCTAGCTGGAAGAGGGCCTGTGGCTCAGGAACAGAGCGCATGCCACGACTCCCCTAGTACAAATGTTCTGGGCGAGCAGGTGCGAGAGCTCGCAGATGCGGCCACTGCATCTCACAGCCAGGCTGTGCGACCTCTTTCAGCCTGGAGGGCCATCTCTCCAACGCCTGTTTCGAGGCAGAAAAGGGTGTCTCCAACTTCAGGGTGCCAGATTCTGCCCCTCTTGCTGCCTGCAGCCTCCCTGCTCTCCTGATGGTTGCTTGATTCTCCAGATTTTTTAAAAATAAAAAACGTGTTTTAACACAGGAGCACAGCCCTCCAGCAGCAGATCAGTTTGGGTTCCTAACAGTGTGCTTATGTCTTTGCAGCCTAGGCTCCCCTTCTTTTTGACGCAGGTTCTTGAAAGTTCCTTTCCCTTTAGGGTTGCCAGCTTGTCACCAACCAGGCCCCCCAGGGTAGCCATTTCAGGAGAGTGTGCCGAGTACTTTAAAATCCCAGATGTGCCCAGTGATGGGGACTAGCTGTGTGACAGTGAAAGTGAAGGGATCACCGACCCATGTCAGCTCGCCTTATGTATGTGCCGTCAAAAGCATCGACGTAGGAGATGGAGCTTGAGGAGACAGCTGGGCTCGGCCCCAGCAGCACTCGCATGTTGAGGGCTTTAAAACTACGTGTTTTAAAGGCCCGGACACAGAGGAACTTCTGTCCCTGTTTGCTTACTTGAGACAGGTTTTTCAACTATATTTCTTCCTGCCACTCTGTGACTAAAGGAGAAAACATTCACCTACAGAAAGTGCAATATGAATGTAGCTTGCAGAGGTTCTTCTGCGGAAGACCCTTTGCCTGGCTGGAATACACCGTTCTTGTTCCACCCAGTTCTAAATGGAGTCTTTCTGATGTGGGAACACAGGTTGTAAAGTGCCAACACCAATGCAAACACGGTACTTGAAATTTGGAGCAGCCTTAGGAAATCCTCAGCTGAGCGACACATTTCAGGCCTTTAGTAGCAGAGTGTGGGCGACATGGTTTCATTTTGGTGCTAGGAATATGGATTTTATCATGGCATTTCAGGTGCCAAGTCCCCCAGAACGGGACCGTTCAGATCCAGATTACCGTCTTGCCAGGAAGGACTGGAAATGAATGTTTGAGGCTGCTATTTAGCACTGATGTGAAACATAAACTGGCTCTCTAATTTTATAGGTACTTGCAGAAGTTTCTTTAGGGTGTGAAGGTGTTTGGCTGAACCTGCTATAACACTCAGCCACTAATGTTAAATGATTTGTTTTACAAGAATCCGTAGGACTTGGGGCCTCTTTCAGTGTCCTTCAAAAAGTAAGGAAAGGTCGTTTGTATAAAAGACCTTCCCTTGTTGCATTCTTTCAAAAAGTTCTTTCAGGATGCCATCAGGAAGTGACCCGATAAAAAGGTAAATAAAAGATGGATTTGAGTTCTTGAAATGTTTGTCAAGGCCTGCTTTCATAACCTAACGCTACTGGAATGAATAGACCTTTAAATTCATTTTTCGAGGGGGGAACAGGCAGTGCTCCCAGTCCAAGGGAGCTTCTGAAAGGCACACCGCACATTTGCCCAGCTTTCATGTGGCAAGTGGGAGCTCCTTTGGGCCCAGCAAGTCTGCTGCTCTTTGTGTAAAGGAACCTTTGCTCTTCCATGCATCCAAAGTTAATTCCTGATGGGGGGAAATGAGAAATGTGCTATGGTGTCTTTCTGCAGGCCTTCCACCAGTAAATATGGATCTGTCCTCTCTCAGATCTAGGTCTCAGATGCAGGCCTAGATCCTAAGAACAGCCTGTTATTGTACAGTGTGGGTTTAAATTTGGGTTCGTCGGCTCCCAGAGAGCATTGGTGGCTGGATAGTACAGACATGCGATGAAAAAAATTAATCTAACAGGTTGGCCTGATCTGGTGCTCTCCAGACGTTTTGACTGCAGCTCCCAGAATCTTGAGGATTGGCCATGTGGGCTGGAACTGATAGTTGTGGTCCAACACATTTAGAAAGCATCAGCTTTGGGAAGGATTCACTAGAGAGGGATCTAATGTAATTTGTTTGTTTTGTTTGTGTTTAGTAAACAACAGAGCCTAATTAAAAACAGCCCATTTTTTAGTCTCAGTATACTTGCAGTATTTGAGGAGGTTAATGAAAGAAGACTGAATCCTTTGCATATTTGGATGGAACTTGTATAACTGTTTGTGGAACACAAACAACATCTACATGAATTGTGTGTTTTATGTAGGTTTTATATAGGCTTGTGCCCTTAATGAGTTTTCAGTATTATATAAAATGTTTTAATTACAGTACTTGTAAAAGCATTTTAAGACGATAGCATGCACATCTGTAATGAGAGAGGCAGTGTGGTGTAGTGGTTAAGAGCATGGGACTGGGACTCAGATGATCCGGGTTCAAGTCCCCACTCGGCCATGGAACCAACTGGGTGACTTTGGGCCAGTTACAGACTCTCAGCCCAGCCTACCTCACAGGGTTGTTGTTGTGGGGATAAGATGGAGGAGGAGAATGATGTGAGCTGCCTTGAGCCCTTTGTAGGAAAAAGGCAGAATCTAAATCGAAACATAAATAAATGGATAATGTTTACACTTAAGAACATAGCAGTTCTAAAAACTGTTGACACCCTAATTAATTTTAATAACCCAAATAACAATGCCCTATATACTGGCAGCCATCCACCTACGGGGCTGAAGCTGCGAAGCTTTCCTAGTATTTCATTTGCAGTTGGCATCCGTTCCTGTTCACTAGCAAACTTTTGAAATGGAAAAAAATGTGCTGTAAAAGAAAGGACTGGAAAATCTCCAGCTCACATCACTGGGAATGTGACAAGCTGGGCTTGGAGGAGAAACATGTTCTTCTATGCTTGCTTCCCAGCTGCACTCACAGTCACACTTCCATGAATGTGTCTGATTCTTCCTTAAAGCTGCCTCTGTTCATTGCCATTACTTGTGGCGGTGAGTTCCATAAGTTAATGATTTTTGAAGAGTAGTATGTTCTATTGTATTTCAATGTATTTTATTGTGTTGTAAGCCGCCCTGAGGCTTCGGCAAGGGGCGGCATAGAAATGTAATAATAATAATAATAATAATAATAATAATAATAATAATAATAAATAATACTATTCTGAAGATTACCTCTGGACCTCTCTCGACCTCTCAGTGCCACGCATAATTTTATTAAGCTAGGTGTTGGGGAAGGCCATACACGTATGGCATGGAGTGCTTTATAAATTCTGTAATACATAAATCTCACAAGTACCGTCATGATCTTGATACATCTATTGGAGGGTTGATATATTGGTGAAGCTGGACAATAAAGTCAGAAGATCATTGAGGAGATCAAACAGCAAAGCCGGTCTGTATTGCTGGATGGAGTGCTGGCCAGGAATGGAGGGCCTCTGCGTGGCCTGTGACCAGGGTGTTTAGAGGCACTTGTGGCATCCTGGTTCTGCCACACGGTCCCCAAAGAGGTCTGCCCAGTGCTCCCATTGCTCACTTCTTAGTGTGGGGCAAAGACCTGCCTTTTCTCCTGTGCGTCTCAGGTGTCTAATGGGGCTAGTTTATCTCTTCCTGGGCAGTTTGTTGCTTAGCATTGCGTTTTATTATTTTGAATATTTGTTTTTTTATTTTGCGTTATGCATTGTTTCTGTTGCATTTCAGTATTTTAACTGCTTGTATCTGACAATGAAAATGATTGCCCCTGGGCAGATGAAAATATGATGATGATGAAAATTATAATACCTGAATGGTAAGAAAACGGGGTGCCTGCTTCCTGGAAGCAGTGGAAGAGTGGAAGCCGTGTGTGCCTCATAGCTGCTCAACTCTGTTCACGGCTGATCCACGTGTTGCCGCTGTTATGATTCAGTTAAATCCCTGTACCGCCACTTAGCTGTAAGTCAGCCGCTGTCCTCTTCTCAGGGCTACACGTCTTTCTGGAACGACTGCATTTCCTCAGGCCTGCGCGGTGGCATCCTCATTGAGCTGGCCATGAGAGGGAGGATACAGCTGGAGCCGCAGACCATGAGGAAAAAACGGCTGCTGGACCGGAAGGTGAGTGCTGCCCCGCATTGCCTCCTGGCTGCTGTGGCTGGGCCAAGGCAGGGGCTTTCGTGGCCGTCAGCCCAGCCGAAGCCTCTCTGGTCGTTGTGCTCGCCTTCCAGGTGCTCCTGAAGTCGGATGCCCCGAGCGGGGACGTGCTGCTGGACGAGACGCTGCGCCACCTCAAAGCCACTGAGCCTGCCGAGACCGTGCAGACCTGGATCGAGCTGCTCACAGGTGAAGGGGAGAACCCAAGCTTTCTGCGGCGCGGCTCCCACAGAGGACTGGGGCCCGACTCCCAACGCTGACCGCATCCTCCTCTTTGCTCTGGGTCCAAATCAAAGTGCTCACTGTAAGCTTGCCCAGCAGTGACTGAGGAACGCGCTGGTGTCAATTATTCCCTTAATCTGAAGGATGTTCAATCTGCTTTTCAGCCCAAAAAAGTCTTCTGGAGCAGCTTGCAGTGATCAGTTGTAAAATACCCCTGCCCCCTCAGGCTTACAACCTCAGGATCACGACATAGGAAAAAAATGGATTGGGAGGGAGAAGGAAAACAGCGCACTAGTTCCCAGGGGCAGAGTTCTTGCAGAAATCAGCAGTCGCAATCAACTCCCTTCACTTAAAGCCCAGGACTGAATGCAGTAAGGGCGCTCTAAGAAGCGTCGTGTCCTGCCTGAGTATAAGCACTAAATAATATTTCAAGTCTTGTGTTGTCCTGCAGGCGAAACCTGGAACCCCTTCAAGCTGCAGTACCAGCTCCGCAATGTCCGTGAGCGGATTGCCAAGAACCTGGTGGAGAAGGGGATCCTGACCACCGAAAAGCAGAACTTCCTCCTCTTCGACATGACCACCCACCCGGTCACCAACACCACGGAGAAGCAGCGCCTGGTGAAGAAGCTCCAGGAGAGCGTGCTGGACAAGTGGGTGAACGACCCGCACCGCATGGACAGGAGGACACTGGCGCTGCTGGTCCTGGCCCACGCCTCCGATGTGCTGGAGAACGTCTTCGCCAGCCTGGTCGACGAGAAGTACGACGTGGCCATGAACCGGTCCAAGGACCTGCTGGATAGGGACCCCGAGGTGGAAGCCGCCAAGGGGACCGGCACGGAGATGATATGGGCTGTGCTGGCGGCCTTCAACAAGTCCTAGGCCGTCCCTCGGGGGCAGATGGGCCCGAGCCGGCGCCGCCCTGCCTCTTCGGGAGTGATGAACCTCTTGCTCTGTGGAACCTTCCCGTCTCTTGGCGGTGGCGCTGGGCACTCCCTCTCGCCACGGCCGCCCCTCCGACAGGGCAGCCCTCGGCCCAGCGGGCAGCCTCCGGTTTCGGGAGCGCCTCCCCCTTCGGCTCCACCACCACCTCTCGCTTGGACTCGGGGATTGGATAGAGCGCAGGAAAGAGCAAGGGCGGTTGTGTGTCTCTCCTCGGCCCCCACAACCTCCCCTCCCCATTTCCTAAGTTAAAATGAAGGCCTGTGTCAGCTAGAAATAGACTGCACCCCCTCTCTTTGATTTCACATCCTCTTTTCGATGTTTTAGGCGAGGAATGAAGTATTTTTGTTCTGTTTTGTTTTTTAATCTCGTCAGTCCAACCTCCGTTTCACCCTGTCTTGTTTTCTCAATCCAAGTTCGTCCCGATTCTTCTTGTGCTGTTCTCTTTGTGTTGATTGGGGAAGACCATTACAGCACAGGGTCTCTATGCAATCTCGTGTGTTTTTTCCTCCTCCCACAGGAATATGGAAAGCTGTTTTCCACCAGGGCAAATCCTCGATCCATCAAACTCACCCGTGATTGGCAGCCCTTGCTCACCTGGATTTTGGGCAGGAATATTTTCTGCCCTACCTGGATTTGTTGAGGGCGCCTTCCCTGATTTGCCCACCCTGCAAACTGAGCAGTGGGCACCTGTAATTTTTACTGTGTCTGCTAAAAATCAAGGCTTTGATCTAAACGCCTATTTCCTGTTGAAATCCATGGGATTAAATTTAGCAGGCTCCACGTACAGCTCGCTTCTGGCTGCAGGCCCAGGTGTCTGCACCGACAGCAGCTTAATTCCGGGGCTCATATAAAATGTACAGATGGACTCGATTTAGGAAGGATTGAACCTGGGGCCTTCTGCACGCAGCGCAGGCGCTACAGCCCCCCCGCCCAGGCCACCCGGTGCCCCTCCCAGCGGAATGCCCCCTGGGCACGGCCCAGATGCTCTAGGCCAAGCGGCGCCGCCGGACGGCTCTGCAGGCTCGCACACCGCTGCAAGAGCCCTTCCGCCTCCACTCGGCCGGGAGACCTCGGCCGGGCTGCGCAGGCCTGCATCGCAGTGCCGCCCCATCGCTCCAAGGCGGTGTGGGGAGGGCAGCGTCGAGGGGCAGCAGCGGACCCGCACGCTGCGGGGAGGGGGGTGGCTTCCGCCTCCAGCAGGCCGCTGTGTCTGGCCGGCCACGAGCCGGGCCGCTGAGGGGTGGGCCAAGGACCGGTCAGAGCGGGAGCAGGTGGCGGCAGGGCGAGCCGCGGCCCGTCCTCGAGGGCGCCGAAGCGCTGGCCGGCCCGGCCCTCCAAGGGGCTCGGAAGGGCGCGCCAGCCAGGCCCCTCCTGGCTCAAAGCCTCCCCTGTGGGAGGCGCCCAGCAGCACTGGCCCCGCCCCCAGCAAGGCAGGGCGTGGCCACCGGCTGCTTGGCAAGGCGAGCTCCGATTGGCCGCCCAATCTGTATAAGAGGGACCAGCTGGATGGTCCTCCGGCTCCAGCAGCTGGGCAGAGGTTCAGCGGCTCCCCTTGGCTGGGTCGGAGCAGCTCGGGGCTGCGGGGAGGTAAGTTCCCCGGCGGGGGACCCCACGCCCTGGAGTCCGTTGCCCCTTGGGCAGCCTGCGCCTGGGAAGGCCCACCTGGCGTGGGGCCTGTGCGGTCTGGGGGCCACGTGGGGCCCAGTGTCGCTCACCTCGGCGCATGGGGTTTAACGCTGTCGTTAAAGGGGCCCAGTGCCCACCCAGTGCCCAAAGCTGAACGGGGCCCTTCTGGTGCCGCCCACCCGCCCCAGCTTTATATGACTCAGACATGTGCACAAACACCTTTTCTCCCCCTCTGTTTTCCCATCCATAAAACTTCCAGAGTGGCAGGATATTTCAATTAAGGACGTTTACTTTTTGTGAATAACATTTCACCACAAACAAGTACAGGATGAGGTATCCAAGAAGAAAAAACTTTGGTATAAAATGTACAGCTTCTTTCTTCTTTAAACTTTTTTTTTTTAATTTTCTTGCTTACAGGCAAAAAAGACTTTGGTTTTCTCTCTTAAGTTAGCACGGTTGACAAACAAAGAAGAAACATTCAGTTTATTAATATATAGTAATGCACTGCTTTGATTAAAAACATGACCACGTCACTCGGCTTACGCTGACCAGGGGGTGAAGAAAAGGGATAGGTGGAAAATATGTTGGTGTTTGTTGCCATCTTTTCTTTTAAATGTTCATTTCTCCTGTGCCCTGAACAGCAACCCTGATCTCCAGAAATCAAAGAGGGTGGTTTGTGCCTGAAAAAAGCTCCTCCTATTTCAGCCAGTCAAGTGGCTGTTAAAGGCAGAGGACCCCTTGCCAGTTTTCAGAGATGGCTACCCAATTGCAGCATGGTTGTCCTTGCAATTTGGAAAATACAGCATAGTCTTTCTCTAAGTGATGGAAGGATTTAGCGTATGGGATCCAGATTTTACAACTGAAATTGCATTTTCTGGTTCCAGTGAATCTTCTGGGGTAGAGAAATTATTTCCAATGTACACAACCCATTTTAAATATTGAAATGGAGGCATGGGAGCGGGACTCGGCTCTGAACTAGGGTCAGAATCCAAGAAATGCAGCTGTAAAGGGGAATTATCTAAGTCTAGGAACCACTCAACATTAGAACAAATGTTCAGAGACACTTCGTTTGCTTATCTCCAAGTCTCAGAGCTCCCACCCCTGGCTTTAGGTGTCCACAGTAACTACAACTATGCAGGTGTTAACACCTGTGTATCCTGCCGTAAGCTTGCAAGCGTGGAGGGCAAGTCCTTGGAAACACAAAAAGCCAGGGCTGTTGTCCCAGTTGCTAGGAAGCAGCACACAAGCATGCAGTCCAAAGCTTTGGCTCTTTGCAGGCAGCATTTCTGTCGGTGCTGCATTGCCAGCTTCCCCTCGACGTTGAAAATGGTTCCTGAGTTTGGAGAAAGGACTTCCTCATCCCCGTGCCCTCCAGGTGCACTGGACTTGCAGCAGCTCCTGGTCCCAGTTAACACACTGGCTGGGAATGAGGAAGACTGCAGTCCAGAACATTTAGAAAGCACCAAGCTGGGAAAGTTTGTCCTAAAAATGACCTCCTTCGCCACACCTGCCAAACAGTTTTTTTTTCCCGTGACGTGCCTCTCGTTTGTCAAATTCCACATTTCACTAGATGGTATGTTGTGTGTTTAGGTGAAAAGTGAATGGGTGGGTATTTATATGATGACAAAGAGGCTGAGATCCCACTGTGAAATTCCCTAGCAAAGATCAACATGACGTTAGAAACAGCCCATTTTAAAAGACACACACATGAGTTGCGTTAAGAAACACGGACATTCTTCCTCTGTTCTCTTTTGATTTGGGGCCTCTGTCAACAGAGCATGTTTGTTCTGATTATGCTGTCGTGGCAAGAGTGAAAAAGTAACTAGTGTATCCTTTTTAAACCGGATATGATATGCCAGCATTTGATTGCTCTGGAAACACAGGGCACAGAATTCTGTTCTGCCACCAGAAAAGGTTTCAGACGCTAAGCTCGTGCCTGAGATCTGAAAAATAAAAAGGCCGCTGATGTTGACGACATTTTCCTGATACCTGTTATGTATTCTGGCAGGAATTGCAAATTTTAGTCAAAGAGGCACGCACCTTTATCCTTCTCATTACTCAGTTGCACAACTGGTGGGAGATGCTTTAACCACAAAAATGGAAGAAACGTGGTTCTTTTCACAATGTTGTGCAAATGCCCAGTAATACGATTTCAGAAGCAGAACCCCGGAACCACAAACATTTGAGTTTTGCTCAGGGAAATGTATCTGGGGAACTTTGCAATACCAGAAGGAACTTGACGCGGACTCCATGGTATCACACTGATGGGCTGATGTGTGCCCAGGCCCAGGTTTTGTGGCTGCGCCTGATGCTGATTCTGCGGCTGTCTGTCTGTCTGTCTGTCTCTTTTGGGCGACCCTGTTCTAGCATCATGGCTCAGGCATCGTGAGATCGTTGCAGCACAGTCAAGTTGCAGTTGGATGCATTGTTCTAACGGGGGTGAGGAACTCCTCTTGGCCCAAGAGCCAAATTCCATTTTGGAGATCTTAGTTTTCACCTTAAGTTGTTAGTGACGTTGGAGAAAAGTTTCAACCTTTTCAGATGGGCTGGGGGAGATGTGCAGAAGCCACTGAATGCGTGGAGGGCAAAGACGGGGGCCAAAGACCCCCAGTGGGAATCCCCTAAGCTTCCTGGAGGTGCCGTTTGCTCCTTTGAAAAAATCAGGTGCCCAGGTCACTTTTAAAAATAATGATAACTTTGCATGTTATGTTTTGCTGCTTTGGGCACCAGTTTTAGTGGAATAGCAGTTCAACAAATGAACCGCCATCCTGCGGATGAGGCAGAACATTTGTAATTCCTGCTGTAAAAACTTGGGAGACGACCTACCGGGGCAAATGTTTGTAAAAAAGACCTTCAAGATGGGCTGGAATCAGGAACTAGGTCTGTACACAAACCTCACCGGCCCCTAAGTGACTGCTATGGGAGCCGGAAAAACCAAAACATTTTAAAAAAGAATAACCTTGTCTAGCAGAGTCAAAGTAAGCAGCGGCAAGGAGAGAAGACTAAACAGTGCAGCGAAACACAACAAGGTTGAGATACCATTTTTAGGATGTTTTGCGTTTTCTGCCCCCAGCCCTAGTGTCTTATTCAACAGGACGTGGTGGGGGGGGGGTAATTTGGAATCAACAAAAAATCCCCTCTCTTTCTCCCTTCCACTTTTGTGCCGCAGGGCCTGTTCAAAAGGATCTTCTACAATGCCTAATCCTGTGGCATAATCACTAAAGTGCATTTTTATTAGTAGCATCCGCAGGGAACAAAGTTTGGGGAGGGGGAATTGCCATGACAATTGGGTTTGGGTCCTTCTGCCAACGCGCGAAGGCCCTTTGTTCCCCTCACTGTCCAGAGCAAGCTGAGTGTTCTGACACAAACAAGAGTACTTTGAGAAGCCATGCAAAAAAATATATAGAAATATAGATATATTACGACACACGCACATCCACACGTCCTCCCAACACATGCGCGCTCACGCAGACGCACAAAGGACTCCCTTTGCGGAACAAAATGGAACAAAAATCATCTTTGGTATCTTTCGGTGCAAGAGAAAAAAGTGAGGTAGAAGGTTTTTTTTCTTTTCGGCGATTTGGACGAATTTTGGACAGCAGGATCACCCAACAAGAACAGGAGGGGGACGAGGAGGCAGTGGCACAGGCGGTGCCGGCAGGGGGCGCTCACGTCCTCAGTGGACATGCCCCGTCCGGACAGGCGCCGGGAGGGGAGCCGAGCTGGGCAGCGATTCCTGCAGAGGGTCCGTCTCCTAATCCTCGTGTGGCCAGCCCTTAAGGGGGTGCAAAGCACTCCTACGGAAAGTGGGGGGTCTTCCCCACGTCGCTTTGTGCCGCTGTGCCCCCAGCCCGGCCCAGGGG